AAAAAATACTCACCAACTGTAGAAATGTGATTGTAAAGGGCTGCTGTGTCCCCAAAAGGGTTTGTGAATGGCAGTGTTTCTCACTCTGACTGTTATTACTTCGGAGACTCCAAGTGTTGACTGTCCACATAAAGTAATAAGATATTTTAAAATTATTAAGATATGGCTTCTTAAACCAGCTGCAGGTAAATATAAAATGAAATGAGTAGAGCGATGGGGCAGTGCGGGGGCGGAGTGGTTGGCACTGGTGACGCCCAGCGGACCCCGGCTCTGGAGGGGGGGACAAGAAGCAAGGCCACATCTTTAAACACCAGGCTGTTTAATATCAGCCCTTAAAAGGACTCACACAAATGGGCACCACAACCGTGGAACACATGAAAGGGAAACACGAGGTCTGATGCTGGACAGCAAGGCACACACAGGGTAACTATTTACAGAGGGCATGGAAATATGCGAGTAACTGACACAGATCAGGGTGAAGCACAGGTAAACACACTTACATACACCGAGGACACAGCACAACTATCTACAACAACAATAACACACGGGGCTATTTACATAGGACACGGGGCTATTTACATAGGACATCGTGAGAATTCTGGGAAATGTTAATAGGGTCCGCTTTGCGGAGACATCTCACCGGCGCTACACACTGTTGCCGCTCTTTGTGTAGAGTTTGCATGTTCTCCCCATCGGAGAGAACATGCAAACTCCACACTGAGATGAACTAGAGTTGCTAAATTGTCCATTTGTGAATCTATCTATGTAAGGAAAATGGATGAGAAGTGCAATGACTTCATTTCATTTTGTAGTTCAGATGAAGGGCTCCGGTACTCACCAGTGAACCACCCTAGATAGTCAGGAACCTATGGTGGCTGAAAGGCTTGGATGGAGTCTCCATGATACTGGAATGTGTCATTATAAATGGTGTAAAATACACTCTCAAAATCATCCCACCAGTGTGATCAAACCTTAATCTGTTTGCCTGCTAGTGATCTCAACATTTTCAGCTTGTTTAATTAAGGAAAATGTAATCAATTAATTAGGCAAGGAACTGAATCTGTTTCATCATGTAATTGCAAAAGTCAAATTGGAATAATGAACATTTGATTCACAATATTTGCATGCGGGTGTGAGGCTCTTAAAAAGGATTACATGATTTATTAAAAATTGCTGCTTGCTATAGATTTTGCAAGTCATTTGTAGATATTTCATATAGTTATTTTGATTTCTGTGTTTTGCCTCATTTTGATGCTAAATGCAAGCATCATCTTGCCTCGAAGACTTAATTTGAAAATCTAAATTGAGGAAAAGGATATTTATGTAATACTTATTTGAAAGCATTCTGTTGGGAAGGCAAAACAAATTCTGCGCTAATTTGATTTCACAGGAAAATCTGGTTAGTTTCAAAGAATGAAAGTGCCTCAGTTATCGGCTGACGAGCTGCTTCTCCATCATCATACCAGGCCTGCGTGCAGGATCCCGCCCTGCGGGCTTTCTGCTGGCTGCATCCCGCCTCCGAGCCCCTGGAAAGCCCTTTCATGGAAACCAAACCACCCAAGCACACATCCTCTGTAGTAAGTGGCATTTTTTTTCTTACTATCTGTAAATTTTTCATTAATTCCAGCTGACAGCCAAGCGGATAATGATTTTAATGAAAAATGAAAGAATGAAGTGTGTTTAAATTCATTTGTCAGAGTTAAGCTCGCATGCCATGCCATCTCGACTGAGTTGGACCTTAATGCCATCCGTGCTACTGTGACTTCACTGAACCCGAGCCTCAGTCACGTTGCATGAGCTACACCCTCAGACACCTGCCTTCTTATCTAGCCTCTCCTCTGTCCAGCCCACATCGCCCCCAGCCCTCTGTCTGTATCCATCGACGTGGGCGGGAGACTGTGCGGCCTAGCAGCGAGAGAGGCAGATTGGGGGGGGTGGGGGAGAACCCCACCACTGATCCTCATTTCCTCTATTCAGTACAGATTCACCTGGAAGCAGAAATGCATAACTTGATATGCAAATTCTAAATTTAAGTGCGACTGTGTTCTGGATGCTCTTCCTCTTCATTGCCCTCCCCATGGAGAAGAGGAGGACTATTAATCTACCATGGAGGAGGAAGCAGGCTCAGGAACTTCGGGCTGCTGGAGGATGGGCAGATGGGCCCTGTCGCCTGTTAGTGTCCCGTTAGCGTCAGCAAAACGACGCCGTCGAGCCAAGCTACAGTGCGCGGGCGTGTGTGTGTGTATGTGTGTGCGTGCGAGCGGGTTTACCTATCCTTATGGGGACACAATGTCCCCATAACGTGATAAATATCCGTTTTTTTTCCCCTTATGGGTCCCTTTATCCTGGTCCCCATAAGGGAAAACTCTATTTTATAAAAATCGGTGACTGCTATGAAAAAACTAAAAATGCAAAAAAACTCTTGTATTTTGTTAGGTTACTTATGGTTATGGTTAGGGCAGGGTGGGGGTTAAGGTTGTCATAGTTAGCGTTAGCATTTTTCCCATTGAAATGAATGAGCGGTCCCCATAAACATATATATATGTTTACCCTACATGTGCGTGTGTGTGTATGTGTATGTGTGTGTGTGTATGTGCGTGCGTGTGTGTGTGTGTGTGTGTGTGTGGCCGGCCTTCCCCCACACTACATGTGCGTGTGTGTGTGTGTGTATGTGTGTGTGTGTATGTGCGTGCGTGTGTGTGTGTGCGTGTGTGTGTATGTGTGTGTGTGTGTGTGTGTGGCCGGCCTTCCCCCACAGTATATGTGCGTGCGTGTGTGTGTGTGTGTGTGCCTTCCCTCGCGCATGTCCTAAGCACAAGCCTCCCCAGGCTCCACTAATGAGGCCCTTGAGTGCCTTGAGAGTGGCTGAAGCACTGTGAAGTGTCAGGATTCCCCGGGAATAAAGGTAAATAATAATCAATGTTAGCTGGCTTTGATAAACAGCAGTCTGGGATCACCGGGTCTGCCGGCGCGCACGGCTGCCAAAGGCCCTGCGGACTGACAAGGTGACTGAAAGTGAAAGAGGATGAGGCCGAAAACACGGCCTTTCTTTCATTCTGTGCCAAGCAGGGACAAGTGAGATCTGATTTAAAGAGACTAATTAAATGGAAAGTGCTGAGAAATCTGCCGCCATTTTCATTAGCCTGCCGCGCGCCTGTAATTTCCCCCGTACCGTGAATTCTAACACGTGACATCACTTGACGCAACCTTAAATGGATTCCGAACTTAATAAAGAATTTGTCTCCCAAGAAGAGCAGGTCTTCACATTTCATTACCACAAATAAAAAGAATAGCAGTGAGGGTGAAAGTGCCTCCATATTGCAGTAGGGGAGCTCCTTTGGCTCCCTGGGGGACAGAGTCTGAGGAAAAGCTCTTCACACCAAAGGCCTGAGCTAAGAACTCAGTTTCTCAGCTGGATTTGCATTACAATGTCCCATAATAATGACAAAAGAAAGCAGATTTACAGTTTTACACCTTTGTCCTGTTTTTGTTCATCTTGGAAAAGTAAAATGGACAAAATTATTGTTATTGTTTATTATTTTTTGGTTTTATATGTATATTATTATTATAAATATATTATTATATTATTTATTATATTATTAAGTAATAAGAAATTAACTGAAACAATAAATGCTGACATATTCATTGATTTATGGATGTGTGTACTGGTTTGTTTATCTGTTCATTCATTCCTTTGTTCATTTAGTTATTTGTTTGTCTGACAGGTGCTTCTGTCTAAAGCAAAGTGCAAATTCACTCATTAAAAACGACCACAGCAGAATCACGTGATCTACATTTTCAATCAGAATCAATAATCTATCTATCTATCTATCTATCTATCTATCTATCTATCTGTTTGGTTTATTGTTTCAGGTATTCCTCAGTTCTGCCACACTACATGAAAAGGTCAGAAAGCTAGTTAGGAATGAGTTGTCTGTTCTGAATTCATGCTGATTGCTCCTTACAAAGTTATTGTCTGACAAATCACCAGCTCCTTGGGGCTAGTTAGTCTGTGAATGTTGGGAACCGGTCTTTACGTGTATTGTGTTATTATCATGCAGTGCTGGGGAAGTATTTTTAAATGGTACATTTTCAAGCTACAATCTACTTATGATTAAAAGTACCTAAGCCACTGCCGAGGAACTGCTGTAGTTGGCTACACTACAAGCTACAGAGAAAAGTATAGCTACATCGAAGCCATTTCATCCGGTAACACTTGTGCTGTAGGATACTCTTAAAGCAAATTAATTTTAAAAAATGTGAAACATAATGTTAAAAGTAACAAGAAAATCTATATATTTTTTCCAGTGTAATGTCAAATCACAATGAAGTTTCAAAAGTTTATTAGTTGTAAACCAAGAGTATTTCACAGTATCTGTGTGAAAATTAAAAGGGTTACAACAAAAAAGATTTTGATTATCTGTCAAAGAACCAAAGTGCTCATTTGCAATTTAATGAAAGTATCTAAAATATTGTTTGTCGTTTAGTATTTTTCAACCCTTTAACATCCATTCCCAGGGTATTCAAGCAAAAAACACCAATCAGAAACACCTGGTACTGTAGCTGAAAATACCCGTCTTTGTAAAGTTTGTAATAGAGGTTGTTATTTAAGTATTAATCAGAGGGAGATTATAAAACACAAATCGACTTACGACCGCTATCTTTTCCGAGTGACCGGTCGAAAGTCGATTTGGTCGTAGGTTGGCCCTTTATTTACAGGCAAAAATTATATGTATAGTAATCTGTATAGTAAAATTATACCAGCTTTAATTCATGATGTTTGGTGTTTTATAACCTTTTTATCACAATTTTCTTAGTTTATTATTGTCATAGCCTTTATTCGGCGTTTTCTTAGTTCATTATTGTTACACAAACGAATATGAATGTATACTGTACAGCTAGCACTGCGAACAGTAAACTGAGCACGAGACGAATGAACGCGCAACTCACGGGGATGCTCGCGCCGCCGGCAGTCATACAGTCACGCGGGACAGCACTCGCGCGGCCAGACTCGGCGCACTAGTGACTAGATATATTTGCGGTGTCGGAACGGTCGTAAAGTCGATAACAGTCGTAAGTTGACGGTTAACTGTAGTATTTTAACGGTGCGGCATTTTCCACGCTACATCGCTATTTGTTAAAAAAAAAGTTAGTTACTGGAAAAACTACTGCGTTCTAAAAGTAGCTGCACTACTTATAAACTACTGAAAAAAGTTATTAAGGTAGTAGCGTCTCTAATTGTAGTTAACTATTTCTCAACACTGGTCATTTGCCATTTTAAGGAATCTGTGGACACTGTTCCAGCTTGAGTCCGATAGCAGCTCCAGTCTTTTACAGTTGCTGAGACCATGATACCCCTGGGACGAGTTACAAGATGAGGTAAAAACTACTCAGATATGCTAATGCTATCAGTGTAGCAGAAGAGTCTGTATTATTAGGGGTAATTTACTTGTCCCTTCTTCAGTGAACACTCACCTAAAATACTGCATTAATTAATCTGCTATAGCCCTGTCTTTTCATTTTTACTTCTGCTCAGTCTCTCCAAATTTCCTTGTTGTCTTACTGTTATGTAGCCAAAACAGACAACATTTTCATTTTATCTTCATCCATGTTAATTCTTGTCTTCTGCATTGATTTTCTGGTGTCCTTGTGTCTTATTTATTTCAGCTTGTACTGTAGCTGTATTGGTACTTTAGGGTATTTAGGTGTTCCCCATTGTCTGCTGAGTGCCTTCCTTTCCATTGTGTTTAATCTCCCCCCTTTTAGCCACTTTTTCTCTCAGTTTGTTAGGAAACGGAGTAAACTTTGACTCTTAACAACGTACATCTGAAGTTAAGCCACTTGTATTGCAGTGCTTGAACATTTGCCTGTTCAATCTACAGCTTGTAGACTAATATTACTTTAGCAGTTTGCTTTTTGAAAGAGTAAAATGGATAAAAAAATTATATGCTAGTCAAACTCTGCATTGAAATATCTACAAATAAATCTTAGTTCATGCTACAATTTTGAAAGCATCATATAATTACCACACACATTTTAGCTGTCTTATTACTAAAGAAGAAAAGGGTTTTTTAAGATTCATGATGAACAAGGGCGGTTCCTCGGGGGGGTGGCAGTGCCTCCATGACAAAATGCATTCCCCCCTCCCCCCAAAATATGTATGTAGCAGGGGTGGGCAGAAAAAAATAATCAAGCTTCAATAATCAAACAAACAAGAAATCAGAATGAGTTACATATTTGTAAAATCTGTAAAATGTGACTGAGAAGCATTGCATAAATAATAATAAATAATTCTTGGAGGACATTAAGGTCAAATGCATCTGGCCCCCCTAACAGAACAACTGGCCCCAATCTGCTCTCCCCCAGTGTAAATGGTGTAGAATCGTCACTGATAATTTTATTCTTGTATATAAAAATCTTTTCAAGGTGTAATACATTTGACTTCTATAATGCTGGAAAAATACATTGTTCCCTTTTCAAACATTTAAAGTTGCAGGGGTTCTGGAACCAATCCCAGGTACCATAGGGCACCAGGAGGCTGGGGTATATCCTGGATGGGATCCCAGTACATAGATGACAATGAAAATCCAAAATACAGAAGCAAGCCTTGTCCTAAGTGAGCTACACTAACCGCAGTGCTACTTTGCTGAAGAACGTCTTGCTGCTTCTTCACACTCCCGACACTAAGTAACTGTACTCTATAGAGACTCTCCCTGACATGTTTTCACCTTTATGGTCTTCCTTCACTCTGGAACCGCTGTAATTGAATAACACTCTGCTAGGATATCATTGTCAAATCTAAAATTATTAAACGGGCCTTTCTAAACCTGTTACTTTGCTTTGCTGGCATACCCTTTCGATTTTCTTGGCCCCATCCTTATGAGAGCTGGTGCACCCCGCTGTCCCTCCTCCACTCTGCTCAGGAGCCTGCAGTGAAGTACACACCACCCTTTCAGTTGGCTGTGGTTCCCTTCCACCGTGCCATTTAGCAGATAAAGCAAACAGTCAGTCTGGCAGAGGACATGCTGGAGAAATTCAAAGCTTTCCTGGCGGCATTCAGGGGCCGTTGTGGACAGGAAAGTCACACAGCACTATTCCAAATAGTGATAATTCATTAGTCTGGACAATACTGGGGCTCACTGGCACTGCTATTTCTTCTTCATGGTTGTGGATTTGAATCCCATGCCCATTCTGTGTAAGGAGTTCTCAGGGTGTAAAGCAGGACATCTAGCTTAACCAGATAAATTGTCGTATCTTGCGGTAGTCTGTATTAAATGTAAGTGAATGAAGATAAAAATCCATTTAAACTTGGGTACCTGAAATCCAACAAGTTATCCGGCTAAGCAAGAAATCCAGCTTCATGGTACAGGCCTCAGTTCTCTGCTTAGTTCAGGGTACCACAGTTTAAATGGACTTAATCCTTGTTTACTTACATTTAGTCCAGACTACCTTAAATACGAGGAGTTATTGTTCACATCTTGTGTCTACACGTAGTCAGCCAACAGCATGCCAGATAGAAGACATGTTCACAACAGACTTGAACAAATATGTTGTTTCACAAATGTTTTTGACTGTTAAACCTTACTTATCTGCGGAAAAATATCAGCAAGTTTACAGCTAGTGGAAGTAAATTTAGTGGAAGCTAATTAGTCCGCTAACGGTTTTCAAAGTTAGCATAAATGCTAATCTGCTAACGAAAAAGTTAGCTTCGCTCATTAGCACTTAGTGGATTTGCCAACCACTGCCTATAGTGCGTGTGTGCTCTGTGCATCTGTCCATTGCTTACACCCTATGCTCCCCCCCCCCCTCCTTCGGGTCCCGGTATTATTATCGGGTGATAGAGAGATAATCCAACCAGCAAAAGATTAGAAATTGACAGATGGTGCTGGGCATCATACTACAAGAGGGGCCCCGCCGCCCATGGCAGGCCAATGCTGTCAGGTTTGCGCCTGTGAAGCTAATGAATTCTCAATGGCTCACAGTGCTCTAACAGAACATTCAGGCAATCCTCGTTTGAAGCTCTGCTCCCTTTTTTCTAGGTTTGGCGTGGGCCTCCGCAGTTGCTGCGGGGTACAACAGGGGTTTCATTTTTTTTAAGCTCTTGTAAGAGAGTTTCAACTGAAAGGCTTAGCAACAGAAGCTGCCGTATACTTCCTACAGGGCCATCACGCGGAGGGCGCTTTGGCAACATGCTCTGGAGCTGCTTTAACGTGCTTCTCACTCAGCTTACATCTCTGGAAAAAATCTTTGCTGATTATCTGCAGTGTTCCCTCTTTCTAATGGACTGGTCTTTGTCATGTTGAATCCATAGATATATGCACAGTGAATGTTGCTGTGAATCTCCCAACTGGAAGGACATTTTGGCAGGAGGTTCCCTGAGCGTGGTGAGCTGGCCAGCCAGCAGGTGGCGTAGTGGTTTAGCAAATGCCACTGCTAGTCTGTAAAGAATGTGTCATGGCGTTAAACATACTAAACAAAGCTGAAGCTCTGCAAATGAAGAACTTGTGATATATAACTATCTATCCACTAAACAGACGATTTGGAGCAATTATTTTAGCAATATTTTGCAAAATAGCAAAACGTTAAAATCAGATTAAGCACTAGAATAAAGCAGAGAGTTTAGCTAGTCAAAGATTGCCACTTTCATTTCTAATATCCTCAGTGCTCTCTGTTGCATGCCTCTCCCCTCCCATCAGAAGCTCATATGGCTGCCCTATTAAACTCAGCTCTGTCTCTGTTCATTTCAGTCTGTCCTCCGCTCTTGTACCTGTGTAGCAGAGACCAGGTCTGCGGATGAACCAGTGACATCGGCCAAATTTGAGTTACATGGTTAAAACTGGCAGGTTAGCGCTGAAGATGGCTAACTGGCTTGTTTGGCTCAGATCGTTAACCACGCAACGACTAAAATGCAGTGAGCCAATGCACTGATGGGACAGTAAACATCTGCCCCTGTGTTTGTAAAATGCAAGTTTATTGGGAATCTAAAAAGAAAACTGCTTACCTGACTGTGGTAGGGACTGGCTGAATGGATTTTATTTTTCTTAATGTTGTTGATTGTAAATATACACCAGAGTCTCTAGATATTAAATATACAGCAGTAATAAGTCTTGTATGAAACCTTCAGATGCTTGGAAACACATGCTGTATTGGAGATCCTTGCCATCATTGGCTTACAGACCCATGTGTGGTGAGATTCTCACGTTTCACAGCTGTATTGATCTTTTCTTTCTGGTCATGATTGCATGGTTCACAATAACAGCAGATCAAAGGGGTGGATGAAATCCAGCCATTGATATCAACTTATTAAGATCACAAAGACCTTTAAGCAACAAAGTTTTAAAAGCTTCTTTAAAAAAATCTTAAAGAACTTCCAAGCAGAAGTGATGTAGACATGCAAAGTGGAGACAGTCCATCTAAACACTGTTTTCACGTAACAAGGAAAACTCGCCCAGTAATAAGATATTAATAGGAAGCTGTCTGGGCTTCAGTGAATGCTTTATAAATGCCTTTATAAAAAATTGCTTATGTTAAAAATGCTTACAGGATGAATGCCCCAAGTATTATTCTAGTCAACAGACTAAGCAAAGCTAGAGAGTGAACTGAATGATATGACAGAGAGGCGAGCCTTACACAATGAGCTGCACAGAGATCATGTCACAGTCGTCGGTGGTCTCCCACGGCTCTGCTGGACAATCCCAACATTCCATGCTTTTCCATGTTAAATCCAGTCGTAGATCTCACTTGAGCCTTTTTATTAGGCTTGTGTGGACATAAATGCGCCATAATTAATTGATCTCTCACCTAGCAGCATACCCAGATGAGAGAAATGCCAGTTAAATGCAAGGTAAACACGAAGGGAACATGAGCGGGAGTAGCTGATGGCTTCCCCCGTTGCCTGTTATGAGATGGTTTTCGTTCTGTTGATGTGCTTTTGGTGGTACACTGAGGACAGTCGACTCAATAGCAAATGTCAGTCAGCTGGCATAGAAGGATTGGACCAGTGCTGGAGTGCATCCAAAAGTACCAGTACCAGGTCCTCTGTGCTGCTGCCTGCACTGGGTTCCATAGGGGCTTGTGGTAGGTGACTCACTGTGTGTGGGCATGTCTGCGCATGCGTGTCTGTACTGTTTGTATATTTCTATATATTTTTATGCAAGCTAATGGGTTTGCCAGTCTGGGCAGAGACACCGTTGGAGATATGGAACAAGGCATGCGACATGATTAATGGAGGGGTCCTGCGATCGATTTTTAATGTGATTAATTGGGCTCAGGGCCCTCCCTTTCTGCAGAGTTTTGATGAAAATGAATAAGGAAAAAAGAGATGGCAGTGAGATGTTTGCCAAAGTGACAGGATGGGGCTGAAATACAAACAGCCCAGGGGTGATGTTAC